GGTCAACTGCTTGGAAGGCAGCTATGCTCACCACTATACCACCAATGCACTGATTACCACTGTTCCAAAAAAAAAAAAAAAAAAAAAATTACTGACCACCATTGTTCCCAAAGATCAATCACTGCTCACATTTGTTCCCAATGACCACTCACTGTTGACAATTGGTCCAAAAACCAATCAAATTGTTTCACCATGCTGGAAACTGGAAAGGGTTGAGTAAAGGAACAATTGAGGAAAAGCATGCATTGTGTTGGCCAGGAATCAAACCCAGATCAAGTGCTCGGAAGGAAGCTATGCGCACCACTATACCACCAACAGACCGGCGCATGAACATTACAGACCATCACACTGGTCCCAAACACCAATCACTGATTACCATTATTCCAAAAAAATTCACCTTTAGGCAGGACAAGAACCATAAGCATCTCCATAAGCTACTCTGGAGTGGTTCGAATGTGTTGAAATTCTCAATCCAATTGAGAATCTGTGGCAAGACTTGAACATTGCTGTTCACCAACATCCTCCATCCAATCTGACAGAGTTTGAGTAATTTTGCCAAGAAAAATTATGATAGATGAGCAAATATACAATACATCAAGATCCAGATGTAGGTTTCCTCCTAAGCTGGTGGCCCCGGCATGTTAAACAACTGGATGATTCAAACACAGTTTTAGTATTTCATAATTAAAAACCCCAGATTCATCCATACAGATTGGTGATGTGATGTAGAATACTTAAACAACATGATAACTAAAGTATTTAATGTTTAAGAAAAAAAAAAAAAGCTTAAAAATAGCTTTCGTCTTTACTTGCACAAATAATAATTCTCTATGATGATGCAGATAATGATATTTTCTCCATTGTTTTTCCAAATGTTAGTCTCGTGAGGACAATCATAGAGCAAAATCGCAGGTTAAATTTCTACAAACTGTGTGTAAAAATGCAAATATTCACCTGTCTAAAGGTCATGTAGCGATCACAGAGCAAATATACAGCTCTAAAGTCACCGAGCTGCTGGACCGTGTCTTGATCAACTGAGGGAAAAAAACACAAATATAAATTTCTTACATGGAATTTTGACACGGTGAGTAAACTAAAGAATATTCAGTCGATGACAAGGGTCCAGAAGTAGAGAGTATTTTAATAGGCGAGAAGTGTAAACTGATCGAATTACTGTTGATTCATAGAATTAATGTTTTCCCACAAATAGTAAAGGCTTGGAACTACAATCCTGAATAATAATAATAATAATAATAATAATAATAATAATAATAATAATAATAATAATGTGTCTGTCTCTTACAGAAGAGTCCAAATGTCTGAATCTGTGTTCTGTTTGGTGATATTTTTATTCAGTACATATACAATCAGTCTTCAATCAGCAGGTAAGTTAATAAAATCAGGGTTCTTTCAGTGTTAGTGTTGATGTTAGTGCTAGCATTCAGTAAGAGTTCTGTTGTGTCTCAGTGTTTATCAATCACAGGGATGCTGTACGGATCCTGAGGCACCGAAGAGCCAACTACTTCCTGGAGGAAGTGAAACCTGGAGATTTGGAGCGCGAGTGTTATGAGGAGATTTGCTCTAAAGAGGAAGCTGCAGAAATCTTTCAGAGCAGAGAGAAAACAGTACAGTGACCGTGTGTGTGTGTGTGTGTGTGTGTGTGTGTGTGTGTGTGTGTGTGTGTGTGTGTGTGTTGTGCATAGAATAGGCCCTCATTGTCTTGTCATTGACATTCCCTTGTTTTTTTTTTTAACAGACAGAGTTTTGGAATCGATATCAACGTAAGTGTGTTTAAAAATCAAATCATAGCAATATAACAGCTGCTATAATGATGTAACGCAAACTGAATTGCTAAACAATATCTACAACAACATTATATGTTACGTTTAATTAATGGTACTGTATGTGTTCATGTCTTGTGATCGCTCATCAGTATCATGATAATGTGTGAGTGTGTGTGTGTGTGTGTGTGTGTGTGTGTGTGTGTGTGTGTGTGCGTGTTGTTCAGGTCAGGGTCAGAGTCAGTGCCGTGAAAATGTGTGTTTTAACGGAGGGATTTGCACTGTAAGTGAAGGACGTTACGAGTGTGTGTGTCCACCACGTTACACCGGAATACGCTGTGAGAAAGGTTCGCTTACACTCCCACTACCTTATACTGTATTCTCTCTCTACTCAGCACTAACTTAATACCACATGCTCACCTTTATAAAGGTCTCGTTTAATTTTTTTTTCACAATAACATGGCATTCCGAGGCCCAGATTAATGTACACTGCCCTCCAAAAGTTTGGAAACGCCTGAACAAAATAGGGTTTTTGGGCAATATCAGCATAAATCCTCTTTAGTTAGTGACCATTTTGCATTGATAATAAGGGACAACACTAGGCATCCGAGCAGTCAGTTTATTCAAACATTGACTTGATATATTACTCCAAGCCTCCTGGAGGATTGCCCAAAGAT